ACAGAGCTGGGTTGGAGACCCAGGTGGCCTGACTTAAATGTGGCACACCGCTCTGTCTCCTTCAGTAAGGGAGCCACAAAGCTAGTGAAAGAGAAACTATTGAGTGGTTCAGTGGTTCTAACCCCTGTCATTCCTCTCTTGAGCTTTGGGGGCACAATGATACAGAGTTGATCATTCTGCTATCTTAAGCCTGAAGTGAACTTGGATTAGGAAAAGTGGATCCCAGTCAAATCAAATCAAAGATTGTGACAGTATATGATCAGAAATCCTGACACTAGAAACATACAATTTTTATTTGTCAATTAAAATAAAAAGTTCCTGGGGGAGGTGCTGTCTTGTTTTTGTCATTGAGCCTCGATCCTTGCTTTCTAGTTTTTCATTGCATTGCCCTACAAGAAGGTTCGAGAAGGAGTAACAACATTACTGCAAGTTAGCACTGCAAGAAGGCTTCACAATATGCAACAGGTCCCTGTGGCACTTTCTCACCGTGGCCTGCACATGCAGTCTCATGAACCAATTGGAGGAGGTGTTTATTCACTGTTTTTTTTCCAAACAGATGTATCAGTGCTTTATAGAAAAGCAGGGTTAATACGTAACTTTGGGACTTTTGCTTTACTAACTGAGAAACCTGACAACATTTTTTAATGGGGATGGAGTTGGGAAGAATGAATTGAAGAAAGTGGCAGCAAAAGAAGAGTTACTTTTCTCCCAGAAGACTCTGCCCGTGCCATACGGCACTGTGCGGGGAGCTGCGCCTTGGCTGTCCAATGGACATTCAATCAGGATAAAGCTGTCCACTGGATGTTCAATCAGGATAAGGCTGTCCACTGGATGTTCAATCAGGATAAGGCTGTCCACTGGATGTTCAATCAGGATAAGGCTGTCCACTGGATGTTCAATCAGAGATAAAGGCTGTCCACTGGATGTTCAATCGAGATAAGGCTGTCCACTGGATGTTCAATCAGGATAAGGCTGTCCACTGGATGTTCAATCAGGATAAGGCTGTCCACTGGATGTTCAATCAGGATAAGGCTGTCCACTGGATGTTCAATCAGGATAAGGCTGTCCACTGGATGTTCAATCAGGATAAGTGGATGTTCAATCAGGATAAGGCTGTCCACTGGATGTTCAATCAGGAGGGGCTGGCAAATTATAGTCTGCAGGCCAAATCCAGGCTGCTCTCTCTTTGTAAATAAAGTGTTTTTGGAACACAGCCATGTACATTTGTTTCCTGTTTTTGTCAATAAAGTCAGAGCCCATCCATTCCTATACATGTTATCTATGGCTGCCTTTATGCTACAGAGGCAGAGATGAGTAGTTGTGACAGAGATCCTTAAGACCTCACAAGTGTAAAATATTTCTTTCTTTTTTTTTTTTTTTTTTTTTTTTGAGATGGCGTTTTGCTCTTGTTGCCCTGGCTGGAGTACAATGGTGCGGTCTCGGCTCACTCCAACCTCCACCTTCCGGGTTTATGTGATTCTCCTGCCTCAGCCTCCGGAGTAGCTGGGATTACAGGCGCCTGCCACCATGCCTGGCTAATTTTTGTATTTTTAGTAGAGATGGGGTCTTACCATGTTGGCCAGGCTGGTCTCAAATTCCTGACCTTAGGTGATCCACCCACCTTGGCCTCCCAAAATGCTGGGATTACAGATGTGAGCCACCACGCCTGGCTCACAAGTGTAAAATATTTCTAATATGGCCCTTTAGAGAAAAATTTTGCTGACTTCCGGATATAATGGAAGACTGATTTGCCATCATGGAATATTTCTTTGTTGGAGACTACCGGCTGCATATGTCACATAGCAATACAGAGCTGACTTTAAAATGTTGGGGAAAATGTCTTCTCAACTATTCTCTAAATGCTATGAATAGCCATTAAAGTTTCTTTTTTAAAATTTCCAGAATGAGAGTCTACCCAGACTACTGAGTCACTATGGCAAAGCCTGGGAATGGGTATTTTTTAAAGGTACCTAGTAATCAGGTACTTTGGAGAAACACTAGCCTGGAACATACCAAGCCTTCACAACATACATATTGAGTTGTACTGAGAAATCAGTATTACATAATTTTGACAATAGTCTGTGGTAGGAGTGTATTACTGATCATAATTCAGAAGCAAGGCTAGAGCTCAGTATGTGGAAAACTCCTTGAATATTATTGAAAATAACTTTCCAAATAACTGTAAAAACACATTTGTTGCTGAAAAGAATAAAATAAAAATTATACATTATTGCCACCCCCAAGAAACATACCGTTAATCTGTTTATATATTGATGCAGAAACACATCCTTTCTGGATTGAATTTATATAATTCTATTAAATTCTTAAAATACCATGTAGTTATTTTGGGTTTAGTTATGGGAAGGCATTTCACTTGGATTTCAGATTTGTTACTCTCTTGAAAGTGTTTGGATAAAGAGCCAAGAAACACATCGTTGCTCATATGGGAACAGAGGAGGTGGTAAATATTAATTGTGACTGTGAAAACCTTGAATTTATGTTATCAGATTCAGAAAGAGAACATTTAGACAATTTAGACATATTCTTTTTGTTCCTTTCTCATTGTTGCCAAATTATCTTTTAATGAAATCTTTGTCTTTGTAGCGCTTTACCAACTGGGCATCTACCACACCTCTCTTGATGTCATTTTTAATGTCATGAGGATGTAGCTGTCAATGCTGCAGCTCGCACAGTGGGCAATCCCAAGGTTCACTTTAATGATTCCAGAGAGTTCTGTGGATAAAGATCTATGCTGTGTTGGTCAGGAGCTGTTGACAGTATCATAGAAGGCAGTATTTCCATTGTGTTTAACATGTAACTGTCTCTTTCTATCTCTATATGGTTCCTTCAGAGCCTGATGGTCAGTGCAGAAAAGGAAGGTGCTACTTCATCCTAGGTCTGTCCTTTCTGAACTGTCAGTTTCACTAGAATTCAGCCACTTCCAGTCACCGATTGCTTTGGCAATGTCAGTGTCACCACAAGCTTTTCTGAAGGCAGACCCGGGGGGCCAATTTGAGAGACCTGCTTTCCCATTGGCACACATAAGATGCAGAACTTTGATTTTCTTGGGGTGGAACTTGGATGTCATGATAAAGATGGCTAGTGTCAGATGAACCTGGATGCTGGACCTCTGAAGAAAGTGATACTTTTGTCTCCTCCAAACAAAAGCTGAGAGTCGGACTTATTCTTAACTAAAAATTTCAATTAAATTTTTTTTTGTTTGTTTGTTTTTTTTTTTTTTTTTTTGAGACGGAGTCTCACTCTGTCGCCTAGGCTAGAGTGCAGTGGCCTAATCTCGGCTCACTGCAAGCTCCGCCTCCCCGGTTCACGCCATTCTCTTGTCTCAGCCTCTCAAGTAACTGGGACTACAGGCACCCGCCACCATGCCCAGCTAATTTTTTGTATTTTTAGTAGAGACTGGGTTTCACCGTGTTAGCTAGTATAGTCTCGATCTCCTGACCTCGTGATCTGCCTGCCTTGGCCTCCCAAAGTGCTGGGATTACAGGTGTGAGCCACCACGCCCAGCCAATTAAATCTTTGATATAGAGTGCATCCTGGTGTAGTGGAAGCAGCTTGAACTAATAATTAGAAAATCTGGATCGTATCTGGGTTCTTAATTCTATTATGGTCATTCATCCTGAAGCCTGTTATTTGAATTGTCTGCACCTCAGTTTGTTCATCTGTCAAATTGGGATAGCAATACTGACCATGACTATTGTGTAGGATCTTCTGGAAGATTAAAATGAGATCGTGAATAAGAAATTCACTTTGATAAATTATAATGCATTAGTAAGTTTTATTATAACCATAAAATAATATTAAAACAGTAATATTAATTCCTGAAAAGAATAATCTTGTATGTGAATGTTTTAATTGTCCGAGTCTATACAGCTGTATTGTTTATATATCATAACAAATTAGCCTTCCATTCATTAGATTAAGAAAATCTGCTGAGTCCTTTTACTTGTGTATTTAATACCTTTTGAGCAGTTTTAGATTTACAGAAAAAAACAGAGTGAAATGTACGGAATTCCCATGTATTTCCTCATCCCTCTAAGCCCTAATTAACATCTTTGCTACAATTAATGAACCAATATTGATACATTATTATTCATTATTAGTCCATAGTTTGCATTAGGGTTCACTCTGTGTTGTACATTCTATGAGTTTTGACAATTGTGTAATGATGTGTATCTACCGTTACAGTCTCATACAGAATAGTTTCATTGCCCTAAAAATCCCCAAGCTCCACCTATTTATCCTTCCTTTTTCTATTCCTGAATCCCTGGCAACCACTGATCTTTTTACAGTATCCACAATTTTGCCTTTTCTAGAATGTCGTGTTGTTGGAATTATACAGCATGTAGCCTTTTAAGATTAGCTTCTTTCATTTAGTAATATGCACATAAGATACTTCCATATCTTTTTGTGGCTTGATAGTTTTTCTTTTTATCCCTGAATGATATTCCATTGTCAGGATATGCCGGGATTTATTTACCTGTTGAAGAATAACTTGGTTGCTTCTAAGTTTTGGCAATTATGGATAAACCTGCTATAAACATCTGTATGCGGGTTTTGGGGGTAATAACAAGGAGTGTGATTTGTGAGTCACGTGGTAAAAGTATGTTTGCCTTTGTAAGAAGCTGCCCAACTGTTTACTAAAGTGGGATGTACTCTTATGGTTTCATTCCCACCAGCATGGAATGAAAGTTCCTGTTGCTCCACAGCCTCACCAACATTTGATGTTGTCAGTATTTTGAATTTGGGTTATTCTAATAGGTGTATAGTGGTATTTCATTGTTGTCTTAGTTTGCAATTCCCTAATGACATATGATGTTGATCATCTTTTCATATGCTTACTTGCCATCTGTATATTTTCTGTAGTGAGATATCTTTCAGATCTTTTGCCCATTTTTTGATTGAGTTGTTTTTCTGTTGTTGAATTTTAAGAGTTCATTGTATATTTTGGATGCCAGTCCTTCATCTGATATGTGTTTTGCAGATTTTCTTCCAGTCTGTGGCTGTCTTTGCCTTCTCCTAATATTTATCTTATTTAACCTCAAAATCACAATCCAATTATTTTTAAGTACCAATGACATGCAGGTTTACAGTTTTTAAAAACGTTGACAAATCCTAATGCTCCATTCTTATTTACCATTGACTCCTTTTGTGGTTGGTTGCATTTGAAGAATGAATCAAGTCATCAAGCCCAACACGGGCTCAACCTCAAACCTCACATTCTTAACCAGGATCATCGCTGCTATCATCTGAGAGTCAGCTTGTGGCCTGTCCAAGTTGGCTGGATCTGGCTGAGCTGATTGGAGCGGCCGACATTTTTGCTGACTGGAGTCATGCTATCTTTGCCAGTTTGCTGGAATAGACACAGACACCGATTGGGTCACGCTGAAGACATTCCTGTCTTGTGAAGCAAGTCTGTTTGTATTTTAAGTTTGCCAGGACTAATGAATTAAAACATTTGGACTCTCCACAACTTGCTGTTTATCAATGCCTCTGACAGGAGGAGGGTTTTCTTTTGCTCTTGCTTTTTCTAGAAACATGACAACATCCTGGCTGTTAGAGAGGCAAGGAAAGGAGAGAGGGGTTGTGGAGGGAAGCAGAAGGGAAGGGAAGGGAGGTCCCGTGGGACGCTGGGGTCTAGGGCAGAGCAGGTAGCAGCGTGCTGCCCTGACAGCTGTCTCCACTCCTCAGATTGTCAGTGGCTGCTATGCAGCAGGTGCAGCCTGGTCTCTCACTGAGTCTCTACTCCACAAAGGCAACGACTGGCCAAGGCAGTGGCTGGCTCTGGGTTACACAAGTGCAGACACTCAACTAAGTGAGGTAAGCCAACAGGTGTGAAAACTGAACTAAATGCTCGGATCACCAGCAACTTAACCAAAGCTCTGTTACAGCTTGTAGCCGAGAGAAGGAACCTGTGGTTCATTTCCCCAGACGGTGTGATGAAAAGGCAAGTTGGTGTAGGGGTTCTTGTGGTCAATGTTGTGTGGAACTCAAAGTCTACTCAGTCTTGCCACCATCCTTTCACAGGTAGACAGATGTTCTCCATTGAGCAGACGGGAGGGACTCTAATTAGCTGTGTTTATTAATTCCATTTCCTGTAGCTGGAAACCATACCAGAGGACTATTTACAAAATCCTTGAGGTAAATTTCTACCTCTTGTGCTTGATTTCTTGGTGCGGGAAAGTGTTGGGAGATTTAGCCTAAAGAGGAATACAACTTTCCATCCTTAGATGTTATGCTAAAGTGATTCGGTGATTGTACAACGCATAACAGTAAAACTTTTCTTTTTAGCTAAAATGTTTAGGGAATTTTAATGGTTTCTTCTGCTGAATTTGAGATAATCCATGCCATTCCCTAAGTGGCTAACAAAATGCTTGATTCTAAGCAGATAAGACTGGACAGAAGAGTGGCAGAGTTAAGATAAAACAAATCCTGAATCAAATAACAGATATTTTATATTACCCTTTTTAAAAATTAGATGTTTCATGTTACTATTTCTTTCTAACTTAGAATTACATGATAAACAGTGGAGAGCTTTTTGGTGCATTGCTACTTGTAGTGCTAAATAAATGGGTCAAATTGTGATTCTAACTAGATGATAAACAGTTGCTGGTTTTTCTCCAAAGCTATACTAGGGTTTTAATATACGCCTGATCTTTTTTCATATGCTGGGTAAGATGATTCCATATGTATGTATGTCTAAATATACATGTATATATATATGCATTGGCTTTGGCTCTATAAATACTTTTAAAAACAAAATTCAGTGTTCTGGACACTATTTTTAGATAGAGGAAAGTTATGGGAAAAAGTCAGAAACCATGCTGTGAGAAAATGTCCTGCTAAGCATTTCCCAGAATCTCTTTAAGGATGGCTAAAGAGATTATTTATACTTTGCCATTTTTAGAGATATTTCCCTTAAAATATCATTCAGGTTTTTTGGTTTACTGTCTACATGAGAAGGAAAGTAGAAGGTTTAGGGGAGGCAGGACTAAAAATAGAAAAGTTAAATATATGTTTTTAAATAACAGAGATATCATGTATTTATAACTATCTTTTCCTAGTTCCCTGTAGACATCAAATTATCAAATATCTTGGTTAAAATATATTTGGGCTAAATTCTCTGATTGTAATCAGAAATATTCATGTGTTTTTGCCTATTCCATTTTATCTGCAGGATGTTTTTTTCCCTTCATTCTACCTTAATTAATTAATTAAATAATGATTTGATAGATGGAGTAGAATATCTATAGGATATTTTTGAGTCTTGTCTTTTGCTTTTATAGATTAAGATGTGCAACCTTAGAAATGTTTGATAGACTTACAGGTAATCAGATATTTAAAGCGCATGATATTCGTAATATAACAGATATTTTAAAGTGGCTTTTGGTATTCTTTATTTACTTATTTATTTTTTTTAGACAAGTCTCACTCTGTCACCCAGGCAGGAGTGCAGTGGTGTGATCTTGGTTAACTGCAACCTCTGCCTGCCGGGTTCAACCGATTTTCTTGCTTCAACCTCCCAAGTAGCTGGGATTACAGGTGCCTGCCACCACGCCCCACTAATTTTTATATTTTTAGTAGAGATGGGGTTTCCTCATGTTGGCCAAGTGGGTCTTGAACTCCTGACCTCAAGTGATCCTCCTGCCTCGGCCTCCCAAAGTGTTGAGATTACAGGCGTGAGACACCACACCCAGCGACTTTTGGTATTTTTTAAATGAACTCATTCTTTACCACTCTCAGATTAATAATTCAGATTTAATCTGGGCTTTTGAACATGAAAAGCTAGTCTAATTTGAAGCCATCTGATACCTTATTAAGACTATATCTCTTTTTATCCTCCTCAGTTGAAAGTAAAATACTTTATATGACCTTAATGGGGCAGGATTGAACTGGTCAGTGTGAAAGGATTCTGAGCAAGTAAGACAGGTAGAGATATTTCCAATATTTCATTCATTCTAGATGTATATTGCAAAAGCAATTTTTTCTTGAGCCAAGAAAAAAAAAAGATTTAAATGGGGCAGGCAAATATTTTTGACGTAGAAAAAGAAAGCTCAAAACTAGGAGTATCTTTAGAATCAGCAGATAATGCTTACTAAGCTTAATAACTTCGCCTGTAATTTCCAAGGACCTCTGAGTATTTAGGGGGATGATGCTGGATAAAGTGACAATGTCTCTCTCTTGCTGTCACAGCTGGAAGACCCAGGAGAAGGCAGAGGCTCAGGTGCCCACATGATCAGCACAGCCAGGGTACCTGCCGACAAGCCTGTACGCATCGCCTTTAGCCTCAATGACGCCTCAGGTATACTCTGCTCTGGAAGAAGCTTTATCTCCCTCGTACCCCGCCTTTCCAAAATCTTTTCCAATACCACGCCTCTGTGGGAAATTTAAAGTTGCATGCTCGCATGACCTGATGATGGGGAATGTGATATTTCATCATGCGTCGTTAGATGGTGGCTTCCAGAAATGCCTCTAGTGATGCTTTCCTCCATCTTGAATCCTTGGGTCATTTAAACTCATTTTTTTTTCTCCTCCCTCCTCATGCTAGCTTTCTTTTAGAATAAAATTCATTGAGCTATAACAATTTCTAACAATAGCAAAGAGTGTTATTGTTAAAACTGCATGAGGAAACATTTATTAGGAGCTGGCAGTTGGTTAGGTAATATGAAAATATCACTGTTCCATTTCCAGCAACATTTGCTGAAGCCTAAGTTTGAAATGCTGGTTTCTCACTGGTGCTCCCACACTTCTGGCTAAATCAACAGACTTCAGCAGGAATGATGAATGGGACAGGTGAGGAGGAGCCTCTCTAAATAGTAAGGTCTGAGGTGAAACTGCCATACTTAGAGCCCTTCGTCATGGCTCCCCTCAGTGACCTCTTAACACACATATTGAATTGCACCACTTTTGAACAAAGGACCTCATGTGGCGGGAGGTCACAGTGCTCAGGAAAGGAAGGCTTGGCTCTCTTCCACTGGCGCCCACCATTGCTCTCAGCATAATGTCATCTGCTAAAATCACATGCTTAAACAACATTACCATTTAAACTTTGGGGACTCTGTCTCTCTCTCTGTTCCTATAACGCCCATGTAGGGATGATGCTTTAAAAAGTAATGATTGGCCGAGCACGGTGGCTAACGACTGTAATCCCAGCACTTTGGGAGGCCAAGGCAGGAGGATCCCTGGAACCCAGGAGTTTTGAGACCAGCCTGGGCAACACAGGGAGACCTCATTTCTATTTAAAAAAAGTAATAATTGAAAAGGGACAGGATCACTCCAAAATAATGCAAAGTAAGGAGCTCTGTGAAATCTGATGTCACACAACCATTGCAGGCTTGGGGTTACTATGCCAGGCGACACATTTAACCTGGTGTTTCCTAGACTGTTAGCCTCCAATGGAGATGTATTCCATAGTAGGAAGAGGTGAAGGCTTGACTCTTCATAGAAATCTATTTTTCTAAACGTCTTTCCATGATCTGCCATTATACTGTGTCCTCACTCAGGGTCACTCTGAAAGACAGTGGTAAGAAGAAATCCAACAGGCAAATCAATCCACCCCAACATAGAAATGACAATTGCCATTAACTATACTTCTCTGTCATAATAAGCATTCACCTATATTATCTCTCATCCTTAAAACAACCATGCTGCCGGGCACAGTGGCTCACGCCTATAATCCCAGCACTTTGGGAGGTCGAGACAGGTGGATCACGAGGTCAGGAGATCAAGACCATCCTGGCTAACATGGTGAAACCCTGTCTCTACTAAAACTACAAAAAAAATTAGCTGGGCATGGTGGCGGGCACCTGTAGTCCCAGCTACTTGGGAAGCTGAGGCAGGAGAATGGTGTGAACCCGGGAGGTGGAGCTTGCAGTGAGTGGAGATCATGCCACTGTACTCCAGCCTGGGTGACAGAGCAGGACTCCGTCTCAAAAACAAACAAACAAACAAAAAAAAAAACAAAAAAAAAACCATGCCACATAGGCATTAGTATTAGTATTCCTTATGTACAGAGACAGAGATTGCCGCCCAGAGACCACACTGTAAGTAATGGAGTTATGTTCTGAACTCAGGGCCCTAGGCTTGAAGTCTGAACTTTCTGTTTTTCCATGCTGCTTCTCCAAAAGGAAAAATGAAAGCCCTTTCTGTTTTTATGCATTTCATAAACGCAAGATTTCAAGGAATAGTCCGTGCTTTTCATGGCATCTTGAGTGGCTAGCTCTCAAGACACACACATGCAAACCCAAAATCCAGAGGGAAAGAAAATGTATAATTTCCTTTCTTTTTCGGTCACGCTGCATGTGAGCAGAACAAGCCCTGTTACAATCAACAGCCTCACAAAGAAAATTTCAGTATATAAAGCTTATTTATCTCAAGCAGTATTATTACATTATAATTTTGGACCAAATGTACTGTTCCCTTGTCAACATTGTAACAAAATTTAATTTATTTACAGAAAAGAGCCATGGAGAGGTGAAATCTCCATCTTTGGTTTGCCTGAATAACCTCTATCTTGAAGTACAAGATGTACAACTTGCAATTAATTTGTCACCATTGTTGGAACTCTCTTGGTCTCTGACTAGGAGCTCGCAGATGTTTTTCATCCATCAATTTATATTGGTTTGTTCCAGTCTCTTTCTTTTCTCTTTCAAATGACTCCAGAATGCCCACTTTCAAAATTCATGGTTTTTAATAGGTAGCCTCCAAAAGGGATAATAATTTATTTTAAATAATTCCTACCCTCAAGCCCCACCAAAAGATGCTTATGAAAAAAACTCCCCAAATTAAGTATTTTAATCTTATGGTCAGTGTGTCCCCATATCTCTAGAAAGGGCACCTACCTGGAGAACCTAGGGCAGGAGCTGAGGTTCAGTGTTTCTCAACCTTACCTGATTAAAATCATCGCCTGAGAGCACTCATTGAAAACACATGTTCTAAGGCCCCACTCCTATATATTCTGACTCAGGAGACCCATTATTGTTGTAAGAAGGAAAAGAAAACCCCCTCCTATGTTGTATGCATGTCACAAATGCAAGATTTCAAAGAATAGTCAGGGCCAAGGACTCTGTATTCTTGCACATACATGCGGCTCTGAGTGCCCGAAAAGATGCTTTGCAGATATTTGGGACACTCCCTTTGAATTCTTGAATAAGGAACATGTGGAGTGTCACACAGGAAAACACTTGCCATCAAGCGAGCTGTGCATGCCTTTTGAATTCCAGTGCATGTGGCCTGCAGACCACACATTTAGGGGGAAACAAAGGAAAACCCCCTAGACTTTCATAGTAAATGAGGGCACTAGGTGGACTTTTTGGGAGTAATTCTATTTTGTTGGATTTATTGTTGATGAATAAGCAGAGTCCATGAGAAAAGGAGACATCTTTGCTTGTGAATATTGACACGTTCATTTCTTTCTTTTCTTTTCTTTTTTTTTTTTTTTTTTGAGAGAAAGTCTCTTTCTGTTGCCCAGGCTGGCGTGCAGTGGTGTGATACTGGCTCACTGTGACCTCCGCCTCCCTGAGGCAATTCTCCTGCCTCAGCCTCACGAGTAGCTGGGATTACACGCACCCGCCACCACGCCTGCCTAATTTTTGTGTTTTTAGTAGAGACGGGGTTTCACCACATTGGCCAGGCTGGTCTCGAACTCCTGACCTCAGTCGATCTGCCCGCCTCAGCCTCCCAAAGTGCTGGGATTATAGGCATGAGCCACTGCGCCCGGCCCGACATGTTGATTTCTGATAAGCCTAGTCTAGTGCTCATTTCATCTGGTCATTTCAGGACTATATATTCCTGAGATGATTTAGTGTAGAGGTTAAGGACATAGGCTTTACAGCCAGAGAGGCATGATTTCTAGACCTACCTCCAACACTATTTGTATGATCATTCCACCTTGCTGAAATTCAGTTTCCTATAAGATGCGAATAGTAGTATTAATTCACAGGGTTGTAATAAGAAGCCAATGATACCTTATAAGTAAGGTATTTAGCAGAGTGCTTGATACACATTAAGCATTCAACTTATCGCTGAAATTATAACTGACTGTGGAGTATCAAGGGAAATGTATACCACTGAGCAGTTGTGTCTCACCTACATATCACACTTCTACTTGACGTCAAGGTAGATTTTATAGCATTATTGACTGGCAGTTATTTGGGGACTAGTTATGCAGTTAGTAGATTGTTCATATCCTATTTTTCCTCTGGTTAATTAGCTGAATTTATTTGGTTTCAGTGTTTCCAGCACTCTTCCAAAGGTGAGTGGGATGTGCAAAAGAGAACAGCATGACCTCCCATGGACTTTGGAAGGCAGAGGTATTTGGAGAAAAGTCTGTGTCACCCAGAGCAGTCAGTAATAGCTTCTTGGAAGAGGTGATAGTCAAACTGGGCTTGAGGGCAGGTAGAGTATAGAGGAGCAGTACAGGACGGATGCCATTCCTGGGTACTAGATACAAAAAGGGGGCTACATATCTTGTAACCAGTTTTCTTTCTTTTCCCTCTAAACAGAAAGCAGGAGCAAAACTGAAGAGTCAGGAAGAACATGGTGTGTTCAAAAAAGACTAAAACTAGTCGTTTGGAGGAGAGGTCTGAACTGTGGAAGAGTAACATGTCTACGTGCCCTGCTTGAGCCGGGCATTGTTTTAGATACTTACATAGGGTACCTGTTTAAATAGCAATAGACTAGGGTTACCAAGTCAATCTTCAAAGTTCAGCAAAAGGGTTGGACTTGATCAAAAGCAATGAAATGTCAAAAGTCCTTAGAAAAGGGAATAATATGATGAAAATGGTAAAAGTTTGGTGGAATAGTCTGGAATGTGGAGAGATGGGAGAATGGAAGAGGCTTTTTATAATAGTACCAAGTGATGAGAGCCTGCATTAGATAATGTAATGGAATGACTGAATTCAGAGTCCATTTTGAAAGAAGGGTTGAAAGGACTTGGTGACAGACTGGCCCTGGTAGATGAGGACTTGGTCATTGTTCAGTGATAGCAGAATGAGCCATAAGACTTTGAATAGAACATGGACCTCCAGGGGTCCTTAAATAAAGGAAGCAAGGTTTTGGAGCACGAATATATATATTTTATATCTATATGGCTAGTCAAGTGTATATATATAATATGTGTGTATATATATATAACTTTTTAAAGTAATACTTAGCTAATGGTAATTTCCAGAGGCAGTGATGCCTGTCTTTAATGAGCTAATGATATTAATGATAATCAGTATTATTTCTAAACTGGGAACTTCAAAGAGTTAAAACTTCCTAAACTGGAAACTTCATGGAATTAATTTTCTTAACAGAAAA